GGTAAAGTTATGAAGAAGATTGGTTTGTCGTTGTTATGTAATGATGTATGGTGTTGGGGTATCATTTGGGCAGAGTAGGGCACAATGTGTTGAACTCTGCAGTAAACATACAGGTATTTGGTAAACTTATGAAGAAGATAAAACTAAAAGTGGACCATTGTGTTTATGTCTCTTCTATGCTATTGAACAGTGTTGGTCCAATGAAAACCAGAACCTTCCTTTTGTTTAATGGCTGAATGCATTTAATGGTTACAGGTACACAAATTGGGCACGAGCATCTCCATGGTTGGCTGGTGTAAATCCTAGATATGCATCATGCATAAAGGCGGTGATGATGGTTTCTTTACTACCACATGAAGTGAGCTGGTACGATTTATGTTGCCATTGTTATGTAATCAGATTGAGTACTTTCTTATAGGTTCTGAACTCCTTTTGATTGTGATTGCAATTATACCTACTGCTTGTACTTTCATGCGATTACCTAATGCTTAGTGGTGTTATATTATTCTGAATTTGACTATGGATGAATGCATATGTAACCTCATGTACTTCTTCTTGTCCAGGCTTCTGCAAAGGCTAGCTCTCAATCTTCAAAACCAGCTGGCGATGAAGAGGATATGGACCCCACGGTATTGCCTTTGCGAGTACATGTTCTCTCACATATATTGTATATATTATCTCCTTTTCTGAACATTATCAAGTATCCCTTGAAGCTTTCGTTTTCTCACGTTATCCTGTTTTCTTTAACATTTTCTTTTGGGGTTAATAGGCGCATCAATGGAGAATGCTTTTAATCATCTAGTTCTATGTTGTCTTTTATTGAGAGGGTAACTATGTATTGTGCATGATCCTTTCGGCTGATATGTTTGAGCCTCTTTGTTTATGTCATTTGTGATTGAATTTTTTTTTGTATCTGTATATGTATCTGTATCATGTTCAATAATTGAGTTTTTGTTTCATATGATTCGGCAAGTTTGGCATGGAGGAAGCTGACTTATCAAGGTTATACTGAACATCACCAAGGTAAAACTTCAAATCTACTTGAGATATCTCATATGAATTTACAGATTTTACATATAAGGATTAGATTGAAGCGGTAGGTAGGACTCTGTATCAGCAACTTTGGTATAAACAGGTGCTATTTAATAGCCTACTTGGTGATATGTTAGGGTTGAACAGGAGTTGTCAATTACTTACTAATTAATCAGTTGCCAATCTTAGTAGTAAAACTAAACTCTCACTGTTAACCTTGCTGGGAATTTGGGTTCCATTATTTATAGTTTGAAGCACTATAGTCTGGAAGGAAATTCCCTCCTTCAGTGGTCTTTTGCTAGCTTTTAGAATTTAATAGCTTTGCTGTAAGTGCAGTAAATACTCTGGTGTTAGAAGTGGAATGGTCTAATTAGAAGCAGGGTCACCGCTCTCATTAGTTGTTGAATCAGTTTATATATTTTATAATCAACACATGAAAGTGATGTGCATGATTGATAGCTTGATTTCTTGCTTGTTTACTCTAATGAGTACTTGAATTAGTGTTGACAATTCTTTTCTATTATGAATAGGGTGCCACAAGTGCTCAAGCTCTGTCTTTGGGTTCTCGAGTTTCGTGATAAGATGTCGTTTCTTTCTTATATGAAGGATTTTGGGATTTTGAGATATCACGAACGTGCTATTTTTCCTTCGATTATGTTTGAATGTTTGTGGTGATTAGTATTTAGCCATGTCAAACACCATTTTGGATGATGAATCGTATCATGTTATGATTCAGGTATATGTTATGTTTGAATTCTTGTAACGAATATGGTTATGCATTTGTATATAATGACCAGGGTATTTGCAATCAACCTATAGCAATCAATCCTATTTTTTTTGTTTAGTAACAACCTTTAACGACAGGTTTTGTTTCGTCACAAAATATTGTCATGCTTTAGTCACAAATTATGCAAGGGTTTTGACCCTTGCAAGCAACATCTCATAGCTTATACAATACCCTATAGCAAGGGTTTTAACCCTTGCTAATTTAAATTCTAAACAACAAATTCGTAATGTGATTTTACATAGATTTTTAGCAAGTTTTAAATCCCTTGCTATTAGAAAAAATTTTACAAAGACGTGTAGCAAAGGTTTCAACCCTTGCTATAACCCTTGCATGGGACATCCACCAAGGGTTGACAATAACCCTTGCTATACGTAGCAGGGGCAGTTTTGCCAAGGGTCATTCCAAGGGTTGCAGGAACCCTTGCTACGTTATATAACAAGGGTTAAAACCCTTGCTACAAATGAAAATAACCCTTGTCATAGGTCCTTTTTTTGTAGTGGCCAATTAGTAAATTTTTTCTTAACGTTATCTTGTGCAACATTCCAACTCTTTTCATCGTCAAGATATTGTCCATTTTGAGTTTACCCTATATAGTTGTGTTTGTGGGTGCATACAATGATAGAGCAAATATAGAAGGAGGTGGGTCACAGGAGCCACTTTGGCTCAGGAAAGAAATGTGTAAATGTAAAATAATTGTTAAGTGTTGGTGAAATTGGAACCATAAACCTTATCAATACTAGTTGATATTTTTAGCGTCAAACCACATCGAAATAATATCTTAATCTGAAAAAGGTTTAGAATGTTAGCGTTATCTTGTAGACTATCCCAACCATTTTTTCATGAATAAGCAAGCTTTCATTCCATCAATATTATCTCTTTATAACCTGAACAAGTATAAACCTACAAACCACAAGTATACAACTTTCAATCAGACCTCTAGCCTTAAACTACCACATACCAGTAAGGCCTATTAACCACTTCTGTTGCTAATATGCTATTGCTCATAATCATATATTCGAGGATCTCCTGCATCTTCTGAGTCAGATCCACTACTGACAGCTGATTGTTGCCATATACCCGACGACACCTCTATCTCCAAACTTCACTTACAAGAAAATCGCAGAACTACCTAACTTGTTGCCCCTAAACTTAATAAATGCTTCTTGTAAACTATCCATCCAACAATCTTGTGGCATATAGAACCAGTAGGAGTGAAATACAACTAACTTTACTTCCTGCACATAGAGACATTTAAAAAAGATATGATCACGTGTCTCCTCCTGGCCAGAGCAAAGGGGGCGCTAGTTCACTAAATCTGATAGCCACTTCTTAATCTTGTCAAGTATGGTATTTCTATTGAGTACTACCAACCAAGCCATGAGGGAATTCCTAGGAATAGAGTATTGCTTCCAAAACAACCTATCCTTTTTTTTTCTTTCTCAGATTGTCTTGACTATGAATCTTGACATTACTGCTCCTTTCTAAGTCACTCCAGCCTCTGTTTTTGCCAAGTGACGTCCATCCATGCCACCTCTCAATTTAAGAACCTTATTTCACATCCATGATCCTGGAGTTCTTATTTCCGGATACAACATTCCTCAACCAATATTCCTTTAACCATGTTATCCATTTAGTTTCCTAGTCAGAGAGCACATTTCAGAGGTGCCTCACAAGACAAGTTATGTTCCACCTACATACATCTTTGAATCCCATCTCACCTTCTTCCTTAGGTAAATCTACAATTCTCCATGTTACTTTGACCTTCTTCTCTGAACCCCATAAAAAGTCAAAACATAACTTCCTTTGGCAACAATTCTCAACAGCTGTAATAACTTTTTCGACAGCTTAGAAACCATCATCCAGTACTGAGCCACACTAGAAAGCTAGGGATAGGGATTTTGCTTGCCACCTGATATTCTTCATGTGATCTTCTTCACAAGGGCCTAACATTCTCCTGAATTTAATTTTCCAACTATTAGGGGAACCCCAAAATATCTAACCGCCTTTTTTAGAACCAAATTGCAGAATCAACTCAGCCTTCAAATCCTCTCCTAAACCCTCACAAAAGATTTCACTTTCACTGGATTACATCTAAGACCAAAAATTTGAAAGAATTACTTCAGTATTCTGCCACCCCTTGAACCCCTCCACACAACTAGGGCTGGTAGTCAGTCGGTATCCGGTATACCGGATAGATTACCCAGTATTTGGTATATCGGAAACAGACATTATGCCAGCTAGACATAACGATTGGCGAGCCGGCTAGGGATGGCAATTTCGACCTGATTCGATTTACCCGACTTGTTTGGCCTGTTTTTGGGCGGGGCGAGGCGGGTATGGGTACCTCTCATCGACCTGACATGTCCCGACCCGCCCATACTTGACTCGTTCCTGCCTAAATTATATGTAATCTTAGTCAAATTACTTAGGATTTTCCTCTTATTACATTATATTTTAGCTATAATAAAGTTGTAAATAAGTAAATACCTCAATTTCTCCAATAACTTAACTACATTTGATCATATAATGGTTTCTTTCTTGGTCTTTTAATGAAAATAATGAATATTTCTAATGTTTTTCGCATAAATTACATACCCATTGGGTCGACCTGCCCCGACCCGCGCCACATGATAAATTACCCAACCTGGACCCGACCTGCCATGGGGCGGGTATGTGTATTGAGATACCCGCCCCAGACCTGCCCCATTGTCATTCCTAGAGCCGGCAAACCGGTTAAAAACCAATACTGGGTGGGGTGATTTGGACATTTTTTTCTTTTTATTTTTCTGAATGTTGTTTAATTATATGATCTAAATGATTTTGTTCGTTTATTAATTATTACTATATTACTATCGTCTAGCAAGTTTTATTAATCACCAATTCACCATTAGTAATTAGTTAATTAGTCAATTTGTAAACCTTAAAAATATCAGTCATGTCTGCAGTTACTTCCTTTATCAAAGCCTCCCCTTTCGACTTCCCATACATAACATTCAACATCCAAGATAAATATTCAAGTTTACGCCTAGGATCTAGCACACATGCCATGTAAACTAGTCTATTTATCTTTAGGTTCTCTTCCTCCTCCTCATCATGCTCAAACCAATACTTTCATACCTTAGCCTCAATTATGTTTGCCATTTGTTGTATCTGCTCATCGATATCATTCTTCAATGTTGTTATCACTTACAAAATGTCAACAATGCCCTTGAAGAAAGTATGTGCAGTCACATATGATGTTCCTGATACAAAGTAGATATAACAGTATAAGTTGTAACTCATAATTATTCACTTTAAGAGAAGGAAAATTAACAAAGGAATGGATTTGAAAATTTGATCTTCACATACCCGAAACATGAAGAGTTAGATCATAAAAGAACTTCATGTACTTCATTAGCCGTCTGATACTGCACCAATCTTCTTTGCTTGGTAGACCCTTCTTTGAATCCACATAATCTCAAAAAGAAGCACCATTTGGACTTGAATGCATGAAGTTAAACACAACCTCGAACCTTTCTGCAGATTCCAACATCAAATAGGTGGAGTTCCACCAAGTTGGAACATCCAAAGATACAAATCTTCTCCCATCCATTTCAATAAATGAAATATTATATTTGAACTTTTCAATCCAAGCTCGTGATGACTTCACCCATTTTACACAATCACGAACCCTCTCTACAGCAAGTCCAACTTCCTTCATCCCATCAAAAACAACCAAATTTATTATGTGTGCCACACATCGAAATTGTAAGAACTTCTCATTCATCAAATATGATCTCCACTCTTTCAGCTTTGTTCTCATGCACTCAACAAGGGCATCATTAGATGTGGCATTGTCCATAGTAATGTTGAACAAATTTTGTACCTTCCATTCTTCTAGACATGCTGCCAACTTTTCTGCAATATCATTTCCTCTGTGACTGGTGATAGGAACAAAACTAATTATCCTCTTCTGCAACTTCCAATCACTCCCAATAAAATGAGCAGTCACACACATAAAATTCTGGTTGTTGTCAGAAGTCCAAGTTTCTGTGGTGATTGAAATCCTTCCTTTGCACTTCGCTTTGAAAAACTCAGTTAACAACTCTTTCTTCTCAAGAAATATGATATAAAAATCTTCCTTTATTGTTTGCCTTACAGGTATCACAAACAAAGACTGTGTTACAACCATAAATCTCTTAAACCCTTCATGCTCAACAAATCTAAATGGAAACTCATCCAATATTATCATGATAGCTAATGCAGTCCTAGCTTTCTTTTGATCAACCTTCCATGGAGTAAGAGAGCCTACCTCACCACCCTCAGGTTGGTAGTTCGATAATGACTGAGCACCAGCTTCCTTCCTCTTCCTCTCTCATGCCAAGTGATGAGTTTTCAAACCACTAGTCCCATTGTTGGTCAAATGTGCTTTGATCAATGTACCACATTGTTTGCATTTTCCATATGGGTAGCCCTCCACCAACACATGATTATAAGGAGCCAACCACTTCGATGTCTTCTTCCTTCCTCCTCTCTTCTTCATAGTTTCCTTTGGCTCACCACTTGCAGTAGGGGTTGGATTTGCAGCACTTGTTGTAGCCGTAGGGATTGGATTTGCCACACGTGTGGTAGGGGCTGGATTTGCACCACTTGTTTCATTTGTGGATGGAGAAGGATTAGTAACACCAGTAGAAGTTTTTTTTTGGAAGTGTCGCCTTTTTTGGAAGTGGTACGAGGAGGAAGCGATCCACCCTTCGAATTAAATCCTCCACGAGAGGGTTTTGTCCTACAAAAGTACAACCATTTGACTTTGTTATGTTAATAAAAATTAAAAACCAAATGCTCCAAACTAGCCAGAGACATTCACATACTGTTACCTACTCCAAACTAGCAAAAGAGTGAAAGACATATGGTCAAACGTAAACAATTGTCAATTACTCCATTCATTAGGTGGGCAGTAAAATCTAATTCATCTAAATTATAATTCACCAAAAGGAAAAAGTCAAATAGAAACACAAACACCACGTCTTATACAATCATACAAGTATGCTACTATTTTGCTTCACAATTCAGTATTCACTAAAATCTAGTTCATCTAATTCACTAAATTGACCAAATCTTGTTGAATTTACATGTTGTCAAGAGTCAAGACTAACATTGTTGAATGTTGATGCTGCTTCTTGTTGAGGGCTGCCTACTGTTAGCCTCGAAAAAGAGCTACAAAAGTCAAAAACTCCCCGCTGGCCGATGCTTCTTGAGTTATTGTTGAAGGCTGGTTGTTGTTAGCCTCGTCGAAGAGCTACAAAAGAAAGGTAGAGATTAGCTGCTATACTGATCGATGCATTTTTTGTCAAACAATAATACAATAGCTAATGAATGAATGAAATAATTAAGATTAAGGTGGGGGAAATAAATGGTAGGAAAAAGGAGGCATACATACCTTGGGTTCGGGGATGGCGAGAAGGTCCAGCAAGGCAATAGTGTCGTGAAGGAAGTTGACCAACGAGGTTTTCAGCTCATCGACCAGTTCATGGCCGTCGTCGTTCTTAATCTTTCCTTTCTACCTCTTCAATTCGTTCTTCAATCATCAATCATGGTCGAAGTTGAACCCTATTGTCGGTTTCGAGAAGCGGCGGTCGGCGGCGTAGCTCTCTCCTTCGGGGACTGCTGGTGGGCTGGGGGAGGCGAGATCGATTTTTGGGAGAAAATTAGAGGAGATGGTCGACCGCGGCGTGCTTCAGGGGAGGCAAGGTTGATTTTGCATTAGGGTTTAGTTTACCCCCAAATCCAATCCGCTGCGTTGCGTTTGCCTTTTTTCCTGCGTTTTAGTGTTGTGTTATACCGATATAGCGTCGGTAATTACCGCCAAGTATCTGATATTATCGATTGGAGAATTATACATCCAAATACCGATACCGCCAGTATTCGGTATATCGGATACTGCCGGTAACCAGCTTGGTAGTCGGTTATACCGGATACCGGTTTACCGAATATCAGCCTTACATAGAACCCTTTGTAAATATAAGGAGATCATTAGCAAAGCATAACGAAGAGGTAAGCGTAGTAAGCATACGACATAGAATCTCCATGGCAATTGCGAAGTGGTAGGGTGAGAGGGGATCCCCTACCCCAGCCCCTTTTTTTGCTTGGAAGTGACATGCTGACCCTTCATTAATACACATTGTAAGAGTAGAAAATTCCAGACTGCTCCTTATCCATCCAATAAACTTGTTAGGGAACCCCATGGTTTCCACCACATCAGACAAATATTCTCAATCTATACTATTAAAAGTTTTTATCATATCCAACTTCCCAACACGTCTATGTGATATATTTTTCCTTCTATACCACTTCTCCATCTCATGAGCTAGTGTACATGGGCGATGGGCCGTGTTTGGGCCGACACGGCACGGGCACGCTTCGGGCCCGTTTATTTTGTGTCGTGCTTGGCACGACCCGTCAGTTTTTGTGACGTGTCGTGTCAGCCCATTTGTTAATTTTTCTCGGCCCGGCCCAGGTCCGGGCACGGTTTAAATCGTGTCGTGTTTATTCGTGCTCGTGCCATGCTTATATACTTATTTAATGAAAAGGGACAAAATAAAAGAGATAATGAAAAATAAGGAACAAATTGGACGGAGAATAAAAGCATTTACCGAGAATGTAATAAATGTAACAAATAAGAAGGAAAAGAAAATTGAAAGTATAACAGGTGTGATTTGACTTTGTTAATACTTCGTCTATTTTTACTTATGGTAGTAATATGTATATATATATATTTATGATCACTTCTAATAACAGTAAATAATTTTTATTGTACTTGTATTTTTTAAGATTTGGACTATATTTATTTTCTATCAAATAAATATTCTTTTCATTTCATGTTCGTTCTTATCCTCAATAGGTTCTCGAAAATATTAGACCCGACATGGTCCATTTACATACCGTGCAGTGTCCGTGCTCGTGCCCGTGCCCGTGCCCATGAAGGTTAGGCCATACACGGGCCATAAATTTTTCGTTCTAGTGTCGGGCCAACCCAAATATTTCATGCCCATGCGCTAACCGTGTCGTGTTGTGCTAGCCTATAGGCGGCCCGGTCCATTGCCCATTTACATGAGCTAGTATAATTAGGAATGACAACAAAACCCGAACCCACGGGTACCCATCTGACCCAACCCGGTCAACGTGGGTACAACCCGTGTTGACGGGTTTTGGGCCAGGTTTGGGTTTAAACCCGCTACACTATTCACCGGGTCGGGTTGGGTTTGGGTTTAGGTAAACCCGACCCATGGGTACCCGCCCACACACATATAATTACTTTCTCGGTATATTTAATATTCTAAATAATATATCTTCCTTAAACAATTAATATTTTTTATGTTTGTGGAGACATGTATAATTTGTTCTTTCTAATTGTTTAGAATGAAGTTGATATTATGAAGTGGAGAGTGAAGAAACTTAGTTGACGAGTAAGAAGCTTTCAATTAATCTTTTGTTTATAGATGTTTATCTTTAATTTTGAACAATTTGTATTGATCATTTGCGGTTTGCTTGTATGCTCTAGATTGGTGTTTTTTTGTATGATTAATTTGTAAGAGAAAATTGATGTTAAACTTTTATTTTGAAAGAAACTTGTTATTGTAAATTTTTTACCACAAAAACCCACGGGTACCCATGAACCCGCGGATACCCAGCGGGTTGGGTTGGGTTTGAGTTTTTCAAACCCAACGGGTTTTACCCCGGGTTTTTTTGACGGATAAACCCATGGGTTTGGGTTTGGGTTTGACAAAACCCGCCCCAACCCGACCCATTGTCATCCCTAAGTATAATGTTGTCACTTATCATCCTACTTTAATGAAAGTAGTTTGGTTTTTACTAATGACCAAAGGAAGAACTTCTCTAAGCTTACCGAGAATGACTTTAGAAATGCATTTGTAGAGGAAATTACAGAATGAGATTGGCCTACACCGCTTCATTGTTTCAACATTAAGGACTTTGGGGATGAGATTTCGAATTATATTGTTTACCTCTATGAACAACCGACCGAACAAAAAAGAACTCTTTCACAGCGTGAGTAACCAAGATGTCTACCACAGACCAATTGTCCAGGAAAATAACTCAGAGGAAAAGCCATTTGGGCCAGTGGATTTCTCCTTAGACATCCCAAAACCTACTGCCTTAATATCTTCAGGGGAGACTGAAGTGCAAAGGGAGTCAACATCCTCTAGTAGGTGGTTCATCAGTAGTCTCTTCATCATACTCACAGGGTACTTTCTCACCTTAGTGTCCTTTACCCCTAAGAGACTAGTATAGAATTTAACAACCTTCATACCTATCTCCTCAACATTAGTACCATTCTCACTGACCAGCTGCCTGGTTGTATTTTTATTCTTCCTTGTCTTCACATGGCTATGTACAAATTTTGTGTTCAAATCACCCCTACCCACAACTGCCTAGATTTTTTTATGAAGAAAAACTCCTCAGCACGCTGCAATTCAGGAAGCTGGATAATACACCAACATTCAGCTTCAAAAGCCTCAAGGGCAAGGTGCTCCAAACTTTCTAAATGAGCTGCTGCAAGTGCTGCTTTGGCTATCAAGACTCTTTTATGAATGTCAGAGTAATGAGTTCTGTGTAGCTTTTTTTAGTTTGATTTTCAACTTTAGATACAGTCGATACATTACAGAACCTTTAGCATCATGTCCCTAGCCTTCCTGAACTCTCCTTTCATAATCCGGATGCGGCTTCCAGTAACTAAAATACTTAAAAGATCGAAGAAGCGTTTTGACTTGAGTATCTATGTGAATGAGTATGTCACACTTTTTATTATCAAGATATCGTCTGCTTTAGATCTACCTCACACAATTTTGCTTTTAGATGCATATCATAACAAAGACATCACAAGCCAAATGACGCTTAAGAACTCATTCTTATTAAGAAGAAACAAGTATAATCCATTATCAATTTCAAAAAATGCATAATTGAATGAAACCTAACTTTAAACAAGCAGTAAGACAGATAGAGCTAAATTACTTTATAAGTACTAGTACTTTTACTACGAGCAATAAACTATTTTAATCTTCATCATCATCGGAAGAAGAAGATGATGATGAGTCGCCAGATTGAGATTCAGATTGGCTACTAATATCTTTCTCTGTGGCTGTAGCCTCACTTTTCTTGCTGACCTCCTCCGCTTGCAGCTCCGCAGGGCCGGCCTAGAGGGTGTGCTGGCCCGCCCTCCGGCACAGGGCCTCCGAATATTAGGGGCCTCCACTTAGATTTGTTAGTTACCGATCGTACATTGTAGATTGTATTTTTAGTATATGATTGATTGATTATGAGTATGATGACGATTTTAATAGATAATTTTAGCTATAATAACAATTAAAAATGATATCATGAAGAATACGAAAATAAGAAAGATAATAGATAATTTTATGGGTAACGTCTATTTTTTATCCAGACCTTTTCAGATTCTTTTATAATATCCAAACCTATCGAAATACTAAAAATTAGCCGAATGTTAACTTTCGGTTAGCATTTTTGTTAGTAATATTGACTTGACAACATGATACTGACTTGGAAGAGACACATGAAGGTCAAGATTCCAAAATTTTAGTATTTTAACTAAGAAAAGAGTTACAGAATTATTAACAATAACATAAAAATGACTAATATTTTGGTGCATTATGAAATATTTGGCTAATTAATAAATTTTTAATAGGTTTGGATAATATAAAAGAATCTGAAAAAGGTTTGGATAAAAAATAGACATTACCCTAATTTTATTTTAAACTATGTAGAAAGATATTGCAGTCATTTTAGTTTTATTATAATTAAAATTCAATTTAGACCATGTCTCAATTTTGGAACAAGGCCCCCACGAAGCATTAGACAGCCCTGAGAATTTGGTTTTGTTTTCTTCGTCAAACTAGAAACGTGATCATTTATTTCTTTTGTAATCATTTTCTGAGACTATGCATTTTTTTATAATTATTTAATAATTTATATTTTTAATAAATTTGTGGAGAAAAATTTTAGGGCCACATTTTAAATTTTCGAACAGGGCCTCCGAATATTATGGGACGGCCCTGCAGCTCCGCCGTCACTACCGGCGCTTTTGCCGCTGCAGCTGCAGCTGCCGCCTCTGCCATCTCCTTCTCCTTATTCTTGCAAAATTCTATGAGTCCATTCAGCGCAACTTGAGCGTCGTTTGTCTTCATCAGCTGTTGAGCAACTTCAGCTGGCGTGACAGCAACCTTCTGCATCCAAGCTTCAATAACCTTGAACAACGAATGCTCTTTAACACCGAGATACTTGTCGGCCAGCAATACGAAGCCTGCAAACGAACAGTAACCCATGTGGATATGAACATCCATCCTCCCCGGCCGCAACAGGGCAGGATCCAGCTTCTCCTTGTGGTTCGTCGTCAAGATTATAATCCTCTCGTCTCCGCACGTCGACCACAACCCGTCGATAAAATTCAGCAACCCAGATAGCGTCACCTGCAATTACATCATAATTATTAAAATCAAGCAAGTCAGAAAAGAAAAAGGTTTGGAAATTGAAAACAGAGTCGTCAGGACAAACAGAGCAAGAAAGAAACAGGGGAAGGGATGCTCTGTTTTTGTTTCTTTTTTTCCTACCCCGGGATTAATTGAGCTCTTTTTCTCGTCACGCTGCTTATGCTTATCCTTGTGCTTATCCTCTTCCTCCTTGGAAAATACTAGTTTCTGTGCTCTTGCTGCTGCAGTCGACATCTTCAAGCAGCAAAATCGATCGATTCGTGGTAGCGGTAAGCACGGTTCGAAGATCCGAGTCGGATTTCACGCTCTGAAGCTGAAGATCATACACATTAAACTTGAGATGATTTGCAATGGCGGCGACAAGGCTCGATTTCCCAGTCCCAGGGGGTCCGTAGAGAAGATACCCACGCTTCCAGGCCCTCCCAACGCTCCTGAAAAAGTCCTTGCGCTGAACGAAAAGATCGAGGTCGCTAATAATCTCCTGCTTCTGTGCAGGGTCCATAGCCAGAGTCTCGAAAGTGGAGGGGTGCTTGAAGACGGTGGCGTCCCAATACGCGTCGTCCCTGTTGTAAGTGAAGATGCTGAGGCCGTCGCGCTCCTTGATGATCTCGTCGGCGGCGCGGCACACGTGCGGGATGTACGTTTCAGTGACGAACTCTCTGTTCTTCTTCCTGCACTTGAGCTTGTACCACCTCTTCTTCCTGTTGTTAAAGCTGCCGGGGTTTTCGTTCTTCTCGCAGAGAACCCACTCGAAGCGATGGCCTTGGAAGTGGTCGACGATTGTGGAGCCCACCGCGATGGCCGGCTGGACGGGGGCCATGATGTCGTTGTGGTCGTTGTGGCCGATGACGAGGCTGGCCGTCGACGGCCCGATTCTGGTCGGGAGGTAGACGCCGACGGCGCGGTATGTCTCGTTGTGGAAGTGCTGCCACGTGTCCTCGATGTTGAAGGTGAACTCGGAGTCGAAGAAGATGCGCGAGAAGAGACCGTGGAGCCAGTCGCCAATGGCTTCGCGAATCGCGCTGGGGATGATGTTGCCGAAGACCATGAAGAAGGTGGAGAAGCGGAGCATGGCGTTGACAGAGGGGATGTAGTCGCTGATGCTACTGCTGCTGCTACAGGTTCCCATGCTGTCATTCCAAGTTGACGACGCCATTGTTTCTCGGGTTAGTGTATCAATCTAACTGGCCTGTGCTCTGTTCCGCACATTATATAGATGGTTGAATCCGTTTCACAGGCGGAGACGGGTTCCTTACTAGACCAGGTCAAGGAAAACGCAATGGGTTATCACTTTGATTCCGCAATCCACACAACACAATCAATATCATGGAGGGAGGCAAGGGAACCAATCCATGTTGGTTAATAAGGACAAAGAAAGTGTAATGGAGAAAAGGATTTTTTACTCGAAATACAAGACTTCTACAAAAAATCGCTATCCTGTCTAGGTGGATCGCTCCATTTTGTCGTAATGTGCTACTAATTTGTCGTAAAAATATTGAGATGATCTAACTTTGCATTTGATTATCCGATTATGAAAAAAAATTATATTTTGCATAACTTTTCAAGAACTACAACTTTCATAAAGTGTATTTTCAAAAGGGTAAATTGCAAGGTTGGTCACTAGAATTACAAAAAAAAATCATATTTGGTCACTGAAAATACTTTAATTCCATTCATGGTCACTAGAATTAGTTTATCACTCCAAATATGGTCACTCTCCATTACCTTCCGTTAGACTCTGTTAACACCGTCAATTTTTTGATGACGTGGCTAACAGAAGTGCCTAATCAACCAATTTTAACCAGAAAAAAGTGAAACCCGAACCGCCACGTCATTGAACCCGCCACCTGATTAAACCCAACCCAACTTAACCAAACCAATGACCTGACCTGACCTGACCCGACCCTTCATCTTCTTCCTCTACTGACCCGACAGGAGAAAAGGACTACCTCCCAACCCACTTCTTCCTCTTCTTGCAGAGCCACCATAGGTGCCGGCGGGAGGAAAATCTCCAAATCCACATTTATGGTGGACTTCCACGGCGCCACTTCTTCTACTAGTCCTTCAAGCGGCAGCGGCGTTGAGCAAACTCTCATCTCGCGACCCCCCCATAATTGAACAAGATTAAACCACCAACCAAACACCAAATCCCATCTCGCGACCCTCCGGTAGAAAACCTACCTACTTCCTTTTCAAAGGTCTCTCCTTCCCATTTTCCATGCTTAATCTTCAAAAACCCAACATTATCTGTTAGAAACCTAATTCTAGGGTTCTAACGGTCGGATTGATGAGATTTGGGAATTTATAGATATTTAGGGATTGAAATAGAATTGGGGAAGAACAGAATTGGGGATTAGGGATTTAGAAGAGGAAATTGGGGATCGAGGAGAAGAATGGCCGACGACCTAGGGATAGGTGACGAAATTGAGAGAGATTGGGGTTTGAGATACTTTTCAGAATAATTGTTCTTGCTTGATTCTGACTAAAACGCAAAGTACATATTTATAACGAAAGATAGGAAAACCTAATATTAAACCTAATTCTACTAAAAGACTACTAACCATATTTAATAAAACCTAATAATAGTGATAATATAGAAATCCGTTTTCCTTAGAAAACGTGTTTCTAACATCCCATCCCCCTTGAGACCAACCTTGCCCTCAAGGTTGATCAGCTTGACCCATTTCTTCAAGTCTACCGTGCAATCCACGTCTTGCCTCCTCCATTCTTGCGCTTTCTTTTCTTCCAGTCACGTTCAAACTCACGAACGAACCCAACCTTAGCGGTTTCAACTTTCATCGATCCTCTTCTCACGAAGCGTCCCATACCATCATTAGGATCAAGACCCCATGAGTCCATACTCTTCTCTACAAACTCTGTAGAAAAAGAACCCACGATCTCCAATTCCTTGTGATCTTCATCACCAAACTCCCCCAAATGCAACCACCCACCATTCATGCGTGCCCCCTGCATGGTATGATAATCATCTTCCAAGCCCCTTTTCATAGCCATGCACCATCCTCTAACTACTACTTGTAGCAGCCTCCACAGTTCAGGGCTTAGGACTGCTTGATGAGAAAGATCCTTGAGCTTATAACCCAAGTCAGGTTGCTTCCATTCCCCCTCCTTCCGCGATCGTGAGCGCACTAATGAAAGCAAGGGGTCGAAAAGCAATAACACCTTACCATCCCGCAGTCCATTCTCACCACTGGCCTTCATCCCCTTTCCTTCAAAGTTCCTTTCATGCCTACGCCAAGCTTCCTCAACACACCAATCCAAGTTGAACCCGATGTTCACATTCTTGTGTGCTTGCAGACAGTTCACCGTCAAACACGGTGGAAACCTGCCGCGTATTTGCTTCTCTCTCGATGTAACCCACTTGGCAGCAGCTCGAATATCGTTGCAGGCTGCCTTCTCATCCGATGCCTGCTTCCCGGAGTTCTGCAGCCCCAAAAATATACTCCTCGCGAACCCACCTGTATCAGCACCATCGGCTGCATATTCCTCCCCATCATGCGCACACCAACTGCCTCCTTTGGTGTTTGAGGCGACAACGACAGTCTTTGTGGAAGAGGCGGTGGTCAGCAGGGTAGGAGTTGCGACAACCGGTGCCTCGATAATTATTTCAACCGCCTGCTGCAGCTCCAGTCTCGCCCCTTTGCCGGTGACTTCCTCCCAACACAACCTGCTCACTTCCACTTGCTCCTTTGCAGCAGCTCGGATTCCCATACACCTCTCCCACAATTTAAAGTTCGGCTGAACTTCAAGCCCCTCTACTCCATTGCCGCCATTAATTGCTACCCTCAACACACCTGGCGGCCCTTGTTCTTTCTTCCGAAACTTCCAATAAAACAATTGGGGAAGGACCCTATTCATTATAATCCCTTCATGAGTAATTCCACCAAACTTACCTCCCTTTTGCAGCCTAACTCGATCAACATGGGTAGTCCAAACTCCATGATCATTCCCGCTTGTGGTGATTCCAAGTACTGTGTCGACGACGGTAGCGGCGGCGGCATTGAGCGCCCATTGATTCGTCTCGACCTCTTCCGCTGCGAGCGGGGACTCTATGGTTGGTCGGCTTCGGTTGGTGGAAACAATCGTGGGGCCGTGCGAAACAGCAGCGAAGAAGCTTGTGGCGGGGGCTAACTGTCCCTCGGTCAACGCCTGTCGCTCTTCGACCTGCGCACGGAACCTCAGAGTGGCTGGAGGAGAAAGACCAACCATTGGGTGCAGGAGTTTGACAACAGCAGTCCAAAGTCTTTGTTGCGCGCGTCCGGTGTCCCACCTCTTTCGTTAGTCGTCACAGGTCGGACCGGGAGCTGCTGCTCCTCTGTCACGCCTACATCCATAGCCTCCTCATCCATCACCGGTTCCGTGTCGCTCCCACCGACGGTGACTTCCACCACTTCGTCGGCCTCGGCGGAAGTTGGTGGTCGCTCGCCATCGGCAACTCGGGTCACCGTCTCTGCTTGCACGGTCGGCGACTCTTCAGAGCTCCAACGGCGTCCGATGCGGCGAGCCCGGTCACGCAGCTCTGCCCACGACAGGTTCGAGATCTTTGAAGAGCTCATCGTCGAACCAGTTGTAGAACTCGTCCCCGGTTGAGAGTTGTGGTGAACTCAATTCTCGAACCGGGCTCTGATACCAAATGTTAGAAACCTAATTCTAGGGTTCTAACGGTCGGATTGATGAGATTTGGGAATTTATAGATATTTAGGGATTGAAATAGAATTGGGGAAGAACAGAAATTGGGGATTAGGGATTTAGAAGAGGAAATTGGGGATCGAGGAGAAGAATGGCCGACGGCCTAGGGATAGGTGACGAAATTGAGAGAGATTGGGGTTTGAGATACTTTTCAGAATAATTGTTCTTGCTTGATTCTGACTAAAACGCAAAGTACATATTTATACCGAAAGATAGGAAAACCTAATATTAAACCTAATTCTACTAAAAGACTACTAACCATATTTAATAAACCTAATAATAGTGATAATATAGAAATACGTTTTCCTTAGAAAACGTGTTTATAACATTATCAATCAAAGCACCAAATTAGCAACAACAAATACAGACCCAGAAAAATTTTCAGCCCCCTTTCCTCCCCCCCCCCCCCCCCCCCCCTTTCTTTCTCTCTAGTCTCTCCCTCTCCATGATTCCTTACTCTGCTTTGCAGTTTGCTCATTTACTCAGCCAACCCCAAAAAGGGAACATGCAGATAAAAAGTAGAGGGGATAAAATCAGTAAAAGGGAACTCAGGAAAAAATTTCACTTCCATAATTTCTCTTTTATAGGATTCAAGAAGGAGAAGAAGGTGTAGAGATGGAAATCAAGGTAGATGTGGTAGTGAAGGTTGAACGACGATGGTCAGGGGTTTTAGTCGGGAAAGAATCAAGTAGATTAGCGGCAACCAGTGGCGGAAATTGTGCCGCCATCGGTGGTGATGTTTTCTGTCTGAGGAAGTAGAATAGGAGAGGGAGGAGAAGAGGGAAACTGGTGGATTGGATGAGAGTGGCCACCTTTTGTTGTTTTCGCCTTTGTCATAGCAGATTCAGCCGAGGAGCATATCCTAAGGTCTTCTTCTCCGATGCGGTCGTAAACAGAGAAGGCGGCGAAAGCCGACAAGAGCTTCTTCAGGTCCTCTTGGGTTTTAATTTGGGGTGGGTCGGATCATGGTTTAATAGGCTATGATGGTTAGGTTTTTATGATGTGGCAGATTTATTATGAGGTGGCAAAGTCATATTTTATCTATTTGGTTTAAAATTGGCTGATTAGACATTTTTGTTAGCCAGGTCATCAAAAAATTGACGGTGTTAGTGGAATCTAACGGAAGTTAACGGAGAGTGATCATATTTGAATTGTTCTACTAATTCTGGTGACCATAAATGGAATTAAAAATTTTCAGTGACCAAACATGAACCTTTTTATTAATTCCAGTGACCAACCTTGCAATTTACCCTGAAAATGTAAGCTGAAAATTAGAAGGAAAAAAACTCTAAAAGTAAACTAAAAACAGCTCAAATCCAAAAATATGTCATCTATCCCAAAAGTAAGCTATAATTCCAACATCAAATTCTCAGGATGCACATGCAATCTAAGTAGTTCTCTATGGAAAACAAAAAAACAAAAAATAGTTGGCGAATTCTGCATTAATAGTACCAAACAAACGAACAGAAGAAGCCACTGCTTGGAAGTTGGGAGACCATTCCACGACAATTTAATAGTTTACAACAAAAAAATGGACATATTAAGTAGCCATATGCATTTTGCTAGCTTCAGTACCAACTTGTTCTTTGGTCAAATCAATGCTTTTTACAAGTCTGCTTAGTAAAACATAATGCACCTGACAGGCAATTCCACATACCAAGCGCAGCCCTAACTTTTCTTGGCAAGCATAGCCCTATCCAGGGTCCTGCAAGGTGTTGTCAGCATCACAAGATCAGTTTCTTGGCAATGCAGTAGGAAAGCACGAGTATATTGTATGCAGTTATCAAGAACTAAACAACAGAGTTGAATCTTGGAAGTGACATAAGCTGAAACTTTACCATTATATTTTTGCCAACAATAAGATAACCAATCTCATTAAAGTGTGCAGGTAATTATCAGCCAGCATAAGCTCCAGAGTCTGTTCAAGTTCAATTGGGAACTCGGTTTCCTTGCCACTGGTAAAATACAACAAAAAAATTGTAAGCATATTCTAAAACAGGACATACTGGGAGAAAAGACTTGAATACAGGATGGAATCTGTAGGTCTTTGTTGATAGAAGTTTTAGTATAGTCCTCATTTAGCGACTTTTAGAACTTCACATCGCCATGCACAGACTCAATTAATGACCATAAATGTCCACTTAAAATAATAACTGCAATCAGCTTGGGCAAGCGATAAGCAAATGGAAATGAAAAATGCTGGAAAGAGTTTCAGCCCAAAGATATCAAAATAGGAAGCAGAATTACAATCTCTACTGTTGTCATCTTAATGTTCACTTTGCTGTCAATGATCAACTGGCGTAGGAGGGGGGAAGCATACGAAAATTAGAGAAACATGCAAAATCCACAACTCAGTCAACAACTTATTACACATCCCTGAAATTACATGCAGACAAGTTAGCAGCACTGGTAAGTCTTATGTCAACTCAGTTAACATAGAACTCCAGAACCCAGCTATTCTTACTAAAAAACACCCAAAAGATGAAACCACTGCTAACTGCATTAGACACAAGATTATCCAGCACTCCGCCAACGAAACAGAAGGAAATGCGACTTCTGAAGTGTGCCATTGGCTTCAGAAACATAAGAACATGCTTAGTCAGCCAGATGGTTTGCTGAATGATGGTAAACTCCAATATAATGCACTTCATCATAAGCAAACCGAACCAAACTAAAATGTTCATGTACGAATGAACTTCAGTGAATAAAGGGAAGACATGAAAGAAACAACACAATACATAACGAGTAGATAAGGGAAAGGGGGGAAAGAAACCGAACCTAGAATACTGAAGAGAACCGTGGAAATATGGCAGAGTTTCCTCAGAGTTGTGGTGATTATCTCAGGGAAAGTCACCACCCATGCTGCGCCTCAGCAAAACTCCCTGCCAATTGAAATGATAAGTGATCAACTTTTAACCACAGAACAGAAGCAGGCTTACGAAGAATTTAGCCAACTAACCGCCCCCATCGGTAACGAATTAAATCGGTACCACCAATCAACTCAATTGAAAATAAGGCATCAACTTTTGTATCGAAACCAACGAGCCCAGATCAACAAACACATTTGAAATTCTGACAAATCCATTCCGTTTTGGAAACCCTCGAGAGCTAAGAGAGACGGACCTGGACAGGTGAACATGTTGTGCATTGTCTGTGAAACCATGCCGGCTCTAATAAGCTGGGCCGTGTCTTCTGTCTTCATTTCTGTCTTCCGTTTCTCTTTTCCTCTTCTCTTTTTGCTGGTGACTTCCCTTTTCCTTGTTCCTGGAACAGAAAAGAAAAGTGATTCCTCTTTTGATGAATGTGATCAGAGACGATTAAACCGCTGAGTGGAGAGCTTGTCGTTCTCAATACAAAAGCCACTGCCAAGTTTATTGCGTCAAATAAGTAGACTCCAGTAGGAGCTCTAATAATTTATGCGTTGCCTGCTCTCCAACAAAGTAAAGCCCTTAATCTCTTACAGTAAAATGAAAAGGAAATGGAACAGCAAAAAAAAAATGAACTGATGCACTGTTCTTCACAGATGAGGAGATACCACGGGTTATATATTACTCAGCAATAAGTGACCAATTAATGAGTTGAAAAGTTGGAGTGTATTCATGACAAATATGCACGCCAAACTAAATCATTGTTTCTAAATACAGATAACATCCCAGAAAAAGATTAGGAAAAAAACTTTCAACTCCATAAACGGCTAAGGTTGAGTTTTCCCAAGGCATGAAAAGCTAAGCATAACCATACCTTTCTGGTTTTACCGCAGGACCATAATTGATAACAAGAACAGCAACATCACAACTACACCATTAAAGCGGTCAAGTATGCAGAGCCTTGAGGTCAGTACATGAAACACAGCAGAGACCAGAGGGAAAATACAGCAAATAGTCAGTGAGCGTGACGACGATCATGGTGAGAACTCTAATTACAACCATGGAGAAAACTCAACTGTACATGCAGAAATCTCAAAGAATGTCACTCCATGCCTCTGCAATCATCGCTAACTTGACCACCCTCATTATAATGACTTTCAAGAGGTTTCTGGGTACCACATAATTCCCCTTGAATTGTATTTGTTAATAAACCCTTAGGCTCTTTCTCCTCACCACCCAAATCAGAGGAACCAAGAAGTTCTACAGGAAATGGATTATCTAAACCTACGATCAAGGACATTGTGGTAGCATCAGCGGAGAAACCCTTAGAAACCATCTCTTGAATGAGTTCCGCTGCATCAAGTGGATCTTTGTGCTGAAGAAATCCAGTGATGATCGCATTATAAGAACGGGAATTCGGTGCACAACCACTTGCCTCCATTGTTCTAAACAAATCATAAGCTTTATCGACCAAACCTTGTCCACAAAGCCCACCAATGACCACGTTATATGTATATACATTAGGTTGTAAGAACTTATCTTCGCGGAGGCTAGTAAACAAAGCCCATGCTTCCTCCCCACGCTTCACGGTTTTGAACAGGCTATCGATCAAGATATTGTACATCCGAACATCAGGCTTTAACTTGCTATTTTTTATTGCTTGGAACATAGTCAATGCCTCATCTTGCTTACCTCGTTTGCACATGTCATTAAGCAAAATGCTATATGTCACAACATCTGGAACTTGACCCAGATCAACCATTTTCGTGAGAAGTTCATGTGCTTCTTGATGCCTTTGTACGAGGCAGAATCCTTCAATAAGAGTATTAAATGTAATATTGTTTGGATTCAAACCCTTCTCAAGCATATCAAAAAATAACTTGTTGGCTTCAGAGATCCTTTTATCTTTACAATATCCATTGATCATGATGCTGTAAGTACGAACATTAGGCTTGCATCCCAGGCTGGGCATGAAGTCAAATAACCTTCTAGCGTTGCCCACTTCGCTTCGCAAACAATATCCATCTAGCAATGAGTTGTATGTAGCAATGTTTGGGTGCACTCCTCTCTGGATCATCATGTTGACCACAGCTTTAGCTTGCAAAATCATCCCATTTTTGCAGAAATCATCAACCAATATGCTAAAGGTGAATACATCAGGCATAATGTCACTTTCTATCATTTCAATCAACATCTTCAAAGCTTTAGTCCTCTTGCTTGAGATGCATAGACCGTGAATTAAGGAATTGTAGCTGAAAACATCAGGTGAAACTCCCTTATTCTTTAGCTCTGAAAAAACATCTAAAGCTTTCGACATCAAACCATTCTTACATAGGGCATCCATGACAGTGTTATAGGTAGCAACACTAGGGCTACAGCCCAAAACTTCCATTTCTTTAAGCAAACTAAGACCTGCATCCGTTTTGCCCATCTTGCACAGCACATTTACGATCGCGTTGTAAGTGACCACATCCCGCTTATATCCTAAAGCCACCATCTTATGAAACAACTCCACTGCCTCAGGAATTCTCCCACTTTTGGAGAGCCCGTCAATCAGAGTATTGAAAGCAATCACATCTGGTTGAAGCCCGAGTTTAAAAGCTTTGCCTAAGATCGAAAACCCGAAATCCACCCGACCCAATTTGCAGTAGCAATGAATCAACATGTTAAGTATGTAATCGTTGCAGGGGATGCCAGCCAAAGCCATTCGTTCGGCCACTGAAAGTGCAGCCTCGGGGACTTTCAGTTTCACAAGGGCAGTCAATAATTGACCGAATTTCACAATGGAAGGATGGGGATTCGTGTTGAGCATCCTGTTAAACGAATCTAGGGCATCATCCACGCTAGTGAAATGAGCAGAAGAGGAGAATAGAGCCTTACCGGCATTTTCCGAAAGCTGAAATCGAAATGCAGTATGACGGAAGATGCAGTAACTGATGATGTTCGTCATCTTTCGCCAGGTTGAAATTGAGGAACGCTCAATTGCAATTAGTCGTGAAAACTGAATCAGACACAAACAGGAGTGAGCTCTGATTGTGTTCTCGTCGGAAAAATGTAGGAGGGCGTTGCAATTAGCGATGACATCGGAATTAGTCGCAAACTGAAGTGAGCTCTGCTCGAAATTTCAGAGTCTGTTCTCGTCGGACAGATGTAGGATTTGGTTAAAGGAACTGGAAATTTGGCGAAACTGAGAGTTTCTTACTTTTTAGGTTTTGTTTCCCGCGGAGGAGTGGAATAAAAGAAACTGGCAAGTTACAAATCACAAAAATTTGGGTAAATAACACATTTGGTCACCGAGATTACTAAATCAACTAGAAAAGTTTAATATTAATTTTGGTCACTCAAATTACTGAAATAAGTCACATTTAGTCATTCTGCCGTTAGTTTTCTTCCGACTTCATTAATGGAGTTGGACGGAAACTAACGGGAGAGTGACTAAATGTGACCTGTTTTAGTAATTCAAGTGACTAAATGTTACACGTTTCAGTAATTCGAGTGACCGGAGTTGGATGGAGGCTAACGGGAGAGTGACTAAATGTGACCTGTTTCAGTAATTCGAGTGACAAAAATTGATATTAATTTTTTTAGTGACTAAACATGACACGATTTAGAAATTTAAGTGATCAAATATGGCATTTACCCCACAAAATTTTAGGGTAAATTGCAAGGTGACTAGAATCTTATCTTACTATATATTATGGTTGTTCAAAAACAACTTCTTGCCACATAAGCACTTGAAGAATTCACAAGTTGCCAAGGTGAACAATTTTTGCTCAAGCAAAAAAGTTAGCTAATGGCCTATTTATGGAATTATCTCTCTCTTCTTTTAATGATGTTTTCTTTTATTCAAGAATTATTTTTTATTTTTATATTATATCTATGTTTATAGAAAAAGACTAATGTTAATTACCGAAGAATAAAAAAGACTAATGTTTGTAGAGTGATATATCACATTTGTTTAAACAAAAAATATCTTACTAAACTTGATCAAGTGAATTTTCTATTGTTTTTTACAGAAACTAAATAATAAGTTATATGTTATTGAAAATTTTAAACAAACACACACATAAACAATAATATTTTTATCGATTAAACAAAATATAACGATGGAAATAGAGAAAATAACAGTTAGAAAATCATTCTACTTTAAAAAATGAACTATGTTATTTTATATTTTTTGCTATTAAACACTCTCTTATTTAGAGATGGCAACCAAACCCATGGTCGCAGGTACCCAACCGTCTCCGACCCAGTCAATACGGGGAATCTCCGCATTGATTGGGTATGGGGAAAACCCGCAAATTTTTTGATGGAGATGGGCGAATATGCTTTTGAAATCTCCATCCCCATACCCAAACCCGCCCCACCGAGGATATTATGTTATATACAAAAAATATAACATCTACTTATGTAATTGATGGCAACCAAACCGTAATTTCATCCACTTATGTATCAGTTCCATAATTTTGGGCAGGTTGTACCCATACTTTTTTACATATTTTTTATGGTGAGTAGCTGATGGGACGAGTATTACCCATGACCATGGGTATCCGAAAACCGCGAGTATGGAGATGAGTTTGTAAAACCTTCCGTCGTATGGGTATGGGGCGGGTATGAGTTTAGGTATTTGAAAATTGGGATGGTGATGGTTTAGGCAAACCCGCCCCATTACAATCCCTACTCTTATTTCAAATTAATATATCTATAAAATAAAATAAGTATTATATAGTAAAAGGTCTGAATAGAAACTTGATGATGTACAAGTATTAAATGGCATGTGAGTGTTAGAGAAATCTTTGTTGACGATGTATGATAAACATTATCTTTCATCAACCACTGACCTGCATTAATCAAACATGGGTTGACAATTTTTGTTAAATAGTTGAATGTCTTCTACATTAAAAGCCTTCATAGTTAGAAGATTCTAATAAGTCATTTGGTTGCATGGTTGTGAGTATGTGACTCCATACCTAATTTTGGCGATAAAAAAAATTTATCATATCAAAGTGTCGAAACAAAAATGTTAGTTTGTACCAGTAAGCAATATGTATTTAGATTGAATTATCCTATTCACAAAAATTTGTTGCGTATATTGAACGAAGTGTGTTCAAAGGTCTTAATTAGGGTTAAAAAACAAAGTAAACTCTTTATATATGTTTAGATATTAACAATAGATGTGTCTACAATACATCCAAGAATTCATCCGTGTGAAATGTCACAATGTTTGTATGAGTTTTTTTTTTTAAAATCAACTTAGTAAAAAAAAAATTAATTCTTTAAATGATACGACGTTTCTAATGCACCTATATCTATGTGTATTGTAGTTGCTGACATGATTTATCAATTATTAAGATATATAATGCAAATTTTTGTTCCAGATGTAACACCAAAAATAAGGAAAATTTTGTAAATTCACATTTAAAAAGTTGGAAAGTTATACACTAAAGAATCATGTTAAGACCAGAAACCTTAAAAGTGTGTAAGAGTGTCTTGGTTTGAGATTCTTACAAGCCAACATGTAGACAACAACCATGGGTCGAAGGTTACTACAAATTTCAAGAATTAGCAATTGGTACATGTTGAGTAAATAAAATTTAATAGCTATACCTTTCAGAATTTTTCAATATTTTAACCAAATCTTTTGTATCGCATCAAAATATTAACCATTTTACTATTATTTTTAATAATTTTTAAAAAATCTTTTCTTAATTTAAATACAAATTTTTTTGAAAGGTATAACTATTAAATTTTCCTAACAAAAATGCTAACGGGGGTTAACGTTTGGCTAATAATTTTAAAGTTTGGTTAATAAATTGTATTTACTCTATTGTATAAGATACTAAATTTGAGTGTCTTGATAGACAAATTTATACATAAGATCCTCAGCAGAGACTTAATGAACATTCACATAAAAATGAGTTAAGATTAGATAAGTTAATCATCGTAAGGAGTATGGCGTTTGTCAAGTTTCACTTGGGATAAACACATTTTATCCAATAATCAAGTATTTCTATCCAATAATCTGAACTCTTAATAATTGTTTGAGAGTTTGTCCTAACTCGAGAATCACAAATTGTTATATGTTTTCTAATATTAGAAATTTGAGTGGCTTGGTTGACAAACTTTTGTATATATTCTAAATGTGACGTGATAAACCTTTAAAATATGATTTATGATTGGAGAATCGAAACCTATGAACATCACAGGTGGGTGTGCTAAATATTAAGAATTTTTAATATGAACATATAGCATACTCACTTATGAAGTGTGAGCATAAAAAAGTTAAAAGATTAAAAAAGTTTTAAACATATACATAAATTAATTTCTATAAATGATAAAATGAAATTTTCCGGCCAACGGGCCGGGTAAAAAACTAGTTATTATAAAAGTTGAGCTTTGCCATTAAAATAATTTATTCCATTTGTAGTCACTTAAATTAGTTGTACAGTCCAAGTTTGGTCACTGGCCGTTAGTTTCCGTTACCTTTTGCTGACGTGGTAGTCAACTCTCATAGTTGAACGTTAAATAGGTGACATAGTCAACTCTAATAAAAATTTAATAAATTAAAAATTCTATCTCATTATCATAATAATTAAAAGCTAAATAAAAATTATTTATTTATTAATATATTTGATCCACCATTCCTCCATCTCTCTCCATCTTCTCAATTTAAATACAAGCAACCATTAGCAGCTCGAAGTTTTTTACACAATCACCCCTAAACCCTTCTCCAGTGACCAGAGCAGTGAACAGAAATTGATTTTCAATTTTTCGCCGGCGGCAAAAAGATCGGCCCTTTGCTCAGTTAAACAAGTCAAGTTTCCAAGAGTTTTATAGGATTTCAGCGCTTTCCCTTTCTTCATTCTAATTGCTCGTTGAAATTCTGGGTTAAGCTGTCAAAATCAATCGTTATTTACTAATTTTTCCTCTTCCCCTTCAATTTTCCATTCTTTGTAAATTTTCCCATCAAACAAACAGACAAACTCCGACCTGAAAACCCCTTCTCAAACAACAGGCAATCTGCGACAAAAAGTGTGTTCTCTGCTTCTTTCTTTTTTCTTCTTTAAACAAAGATTTTGGGTGCGGGGTCTGTTACATTCCTCTACCTATTGTCACCTCTACTTCGGTTCTGCCTATTGCGCACCTACATTTCATATATTGCCGACTTTGTATTCCCTTTATCATAGCTTAATTGGGAAAGCCCTCCTCTGAATCGAAGTTTCTAGGTTGTTCCCCTATTTTCCTCTTCTGGGTCTTCTTTAGTTGCTTAGTGTCTTGATGGGTGCTAACTTCTCTTAGATTTTCATGGATTCGGAGACGACTTGCTACCTATTCGGCGCCTTTTCCCCTCCAATCCAACAGCCGCCGTGGAGACCGACTCTGGGTGACTTTTCGGAGAGCTGTGGGGCTCCAATTCTCACTAATTTGGATACCGTCGAGATTTGCAAACTGGCAACGCTCAACAGGGCATGTCACGACATCAAACAGATAAGAGAAGAGAGAGGGAGGGAGTGGTGGATAAAATATATTAATAAATAGTTAATTGAAAATTTTATTTTTATTTATTTTTAATTAATATGATAATGAGGTGGAATTTTTAATAGATTATATTTTTTAATTTTTTAATTGCCACGTAACCTATTTAACGGTCAATTATGAGAGTTGACTGCCAACTCAGCAAAAGTTAACGGAGACTAACGGCCAGTGACCAAACTTGGACTGTGCAACTAATTTGAGTGACTACAGATGGAATAAATTAATCTTAGTGGCAAACGTGAACTTTTATAGTAATTCTAGTTACCAAACTTGCAATTTACCCCAAAATTTTAATTTGTAATGATACGATGATTAAAGTTTGAAATTGGCTTATGTATGATGTTACGGGAGCTTCCCAACAACGTTCAGTAATTAATACGAGTTAGGTCGTCTTGAGCGACCGTCTTTCTACCCAAAAAAAAGTTTGAAATTATATGTAATGATTACTTTTGTTTAATTTGTGACCGTTTGTGTTAAGTGTAAAAGTTTGTTACCGAGTCGTTACAAATTAAAAGGTTTGTAATCTTTTTGAGGCCGAATCGTGTGTTCGTCAAATATATGAGACTAACCACTTGAACGACATATGAAATGTTGAGTCTTGTGTTCATCGATATACTTGCTTTGCCGAATAAGAATGTCATTTGTCTACCTTTCAACTTCGATACCAAGAAAGTATA